CATTATAATAAATTAATAATAATAAAGCAAGTACCCATTAATAATCGGAACATGGAATGTATGAAGTATGAATTTAGGAAAATTGGAAATTGTCAAAAATGAAATGGAACATACAAAGATCGATATCCTAGGCTGAAATTGACATGTTTTGGCCATTTTGATTCAGACATCTCTATGATCTACTATGCCAGGAATGACAAATTGAAGAGGAATGGCATGGCGTTCATTGTCACAAAGACTGTTTCAAGATCTATCCTGAAGTACAGTGCAGTCAGTTAGGATAATATCCATATGCCTCCAACGAAGACCAGTTAATACTACTATTATTAAAATTTATGCATCAACCACCAAAGCCAAAGACAAGGTAATTGAAGATTTTTACCAACTTCTGCAGTCTGAAATTGACTGAACATGCAATCAAGAAGTGTTGATTATCACTGGTGGTTGGAATGCAAAAGTTGGAAATAAAAGAAGAATCACCAGTTGTTGGAACACATGGCCTTGGTGAAGGAAAAAATGCTGGAGATCGCATGATAGAATTTTGCAAGACCAACAACTTATTTATTGGAAACACCTTTTTTCAACAACATGAATGGTGGCTATACATGTGGATTTCACCAGATGGAACACACAGGAATCAGATCAACTACATCTGTGTAAAGAGGTGATGGAGAAGCTTAGTATATTCAGTCAAAACAAGGCCAGGAGCTGACTGTGAAACACACTATCATTTGTTCATATGCAAGTGCAAGTTGAAGCTGATGACAAATAAAGGAAGTCCACGACAACCAAAATATAACCTTGATTATTTTGCTCCTGAATTTAGAGACCATCTAAAGAATAGATTTGATGCATTGAACACCAATGATTGAAAACCAGAGGAGCTGTGGGATAACATCAAGAACATCATCATCCATGAAGAAAGCAAAAGGTCATTAAAAAGACAAGAAAGGAAGAGAACACCAAAATGGGTGTCAGAAGGCACTCTGAAACTTGCCCTTGTGCAGAGAGTAGCTAAAGCAAATGGAAGAAATGACAAGATAAAAGGGCTGAACAGAAGATTTCAAAGAGCAGCTTGAGAAGACAAAGCCAGTTATTATAATGAAATGTGCAAAGACCTGGAGTTAGAAAACCAAAAGGGAAGAACATGCTCAGCAGTTCTGACGCTGAAAGAACCGAAGAAAAAAATTCAGGCCTCGAGTTGCAATACTGAAAGATTCTATGGGTAAAATATTGAATGATGCAGGAAACATCAAAAGAAGATTGAAGGCATACACAGAGTCACTGTACTAAAAAGAATTGGTCGATGTTCATCCATTTCAGGGAGTGGCATATGAACAAGAACCAATGGTCTTGAAGGAAGAAGTCGAAGCTGTACTGAAGGAATTGGCAAAGAACAAGGCTCCAGGAGATGTTTCAACAAACGGATGCTATGCTGGAGGCACTCACTTCTCTATGCCAAGAAATTTGGAAGACAGCTACCTGGCTGACTGGAAAAGATCCATATTTGTACCCATTCTAAAGAAAGGTGATCCCACAGAATGTGGAAATTATCAAATGCTTATCATTAATATCATATGCAAGTAAAATCTTGCTGAAGATAATTAAAAAAAAAACAAAACTGTTGCAGTATATTGACAGAGAACTTCCACAAATACAAGCTGGATTCAGAAGAGGACATGGAACATGGGATATCATTGCTAATGTCAGATGAATCTTGGCTCAAAGCAAAGAATACCAGAAATACGTTTACTTGTGTTTTATTGACTATGCAAAGGCATTTGATTGTGTGGATCATAACAAACTATGGATAACATGGAGAAGAATGGGAATTCCAGAACACTTGATTGTGCTCATCAGGAACCTGTACATAGACCAGGATGCTGTCGTTCGAACAGAACTAGGGGATACTGCATGGTTTTAAATCAGGAAGGATCTGCATCAGGGTTGTATCCTTTCACCATACTTAATCAATCTGTATGCTGAACAAATAATCCAAGAAACTGGACTATATGAAGAAGAACAAGGCATCAGGATTGGGGGAAAACTCATTAACATCCTTCTATATGCAGACAACACAACTTTGCTTGCTGAAAGTGAAGGATGACTTGAAGCACTTACTGATGAAGATTAAAGACTTCAGTCTGCAGTATGGATTGCATCTCAACATAAAGGAAATGAAAATCCTTACCACTGGACCAATAAGCAGCATGACAATAAATGGAGAAAAGATTGAAGTTGTCAAAGATTTCATATTACTTGGCTCCACAATCAATACCAGTGAAAGCAGCAGTCAAGACATCAGACAACATATTGCAATGGGCAAATTTGTGGCAAAATACCTCTTTCAAGTGCTGAAGAGTAAAGATATCTCCTTGAAGCGTAAGGTGCGCCTAACCCAAGCCATGGTATTTTCAGTTGCCTCATATGCCTGTGAGAGTTGGACAATGAACAAGGAAGACCAAAGAAGAGTTGATGCTTTTGAGTTGTGCTGTTGGCAAAGAATTCTGAAAGTACTGTGGACTAGCAAAAGAACGAACAAATCTGTCCTGGAGGAAGTGCAGCCAGAATGCTCGTCGGAAGTGAGAATGGCCAGACTTCATCTCACCTACTTTGGTCATGTTGTCAGAAGGGACCATTCCCTGAAGAAGGATATCATGCTTGGTAGAGTGGAGGGTCAATGAAAAAGGGGAAGGCCCTCAAGGATATGGATTGACACAGTGGCTGCCACAATGGGCTCAGATATAGCAAGGATTGTGAGGCTGGCGCAGGACTGGGCAGTGTTTCATTCTGTTGGGCATGGGGTCACTATGAGTCAGAGCCAACTTGACAGCACCTAACAACAATAACCACAAGGGTAACCAAGGAGTCTTGGTAGTGCAGTGGTGAAGCGCTCAGCTGCTAACCAAAAGTTCAGTGGTTGGAACCCACGAGCCAGTAGGCAGGAAAAGATGTGGTCATCTGCTTTGGTAAAGATTACAGTCTTGGAAACTGTACAGGGCAGTTCTACTCTGTCCTATAGGGTGGTTATAAGTTGAAATGGACCCCATGGCAATGAGTTTAAATAAAGGTAACCAGGTACTCATTAAGCAGTCACTCCCTATTCTCCCGGAAAAAGATCCTGGAGCTCTGGTAGTATAGTGCCTAAGGCACCTGACTGCTAACCAGAAGGCTGGAACCACCAGTCACTTCTCGGAAGGAAGACGGAGCAATCTACTTCTGTAGAGATACTGCTTCGGAAACCCAAGGAGCGGTCGCTATGAGGCACATAACAACGACAACAACAGCCCCATTCTCCCTTCTCTATGCCCCTGACAACTACTAATCTGCTTTCTGTGTCTATAAATTTGCCTATTCTGAATTCAGGGAGATGGAAGCATATTTTATAGTGAGTATTTTATATAGCCTTTTGTGTCCGGCTTCCATTATTGTTGCAATGTATCAGTACTTCATTCCTTTTGTTGGGTGAATAATAATTCCATTTTTTTGTAATAAACCACATTTTGTGTATCCATTCATTATGATAGACATTTGGCTTGTTTTCAGTGAAAACACACCTTTCAGCTTTTGTGAATAACGCTATGAACATTAGTGAGATAATGTTTTACAATCATTTGCCTGGCAAAAATTTAAGAAGACTGACAATACCAAGTATTGGAGAGATCTTTTCAAAGGTATGTTGTTGATGGGCCCATAAATTTGTTTAACCTTGTTGGAAAACTTCTTCTTGTGAAATTGGATATTCACATTGTTTATGATCCAGTATTCACTCCTAGGTATATACCCAAGAGAATCTTTATTACATAGGTACTAGGAGATATACACATGAATGTTAATAGCAGTACTGTTCCTAAGAGCAAAAAACTTGAACCCACGCAAATGTGCATCAGTACCCACCCAAATGTGCATCAGTAGACAGTTCTTTCAAGAAATCCTGCTGTTTAGGGAAGGGGAAAAATGAAGCAGTTTTTTTAAATTTTATAAGGTTTAGAGAACACACAGCATATTTGTATGTTGACACATTAATTGACTGGAAAAGAAAAAAAAAATAATGATGAGGATTGCAGGAGAACCTGATCATTCAGACAATTAGCCTCAATTTCTCCCCCAGTTTTAGATGTTATTGTACATGCTCTCCAGTTAAGTTTTACCTATCCTTCACTTGCCATTCTTAAATTTTTTTGATCAAATAAAGTACATCAACTGAGAACCAAAAGATATTTATTTTACCTGTTACCTTCTACAGACACTCTGACTGGTCTACCTATATTTCATATTACCACAAAAGTCAGATCCAACTTACCACACATCACTAGAAAAAACAAAACCAAACCCACTGCCAGTGGAGTTGGATCCGACTCATAGCGACCCCTCCTTGGGTTTCTGAGGCAGTATCATTACGGAAGTAGATTGCTCAACCTTCCTTCCGAGGAGTGGCTGGTGGGTTTGAACCCCCAGCCCTCTGGTTAGCAGTCAAATGCCTTAGGCACTACAGCCACCAGAGCTCCTACACACGCCACTGTTGTTGTTGTTTGCCGTGGAGTCGGCCCCGACTCATAGCGGACCCCTCCTTGGGTTTCCGAGTGGCTGGTGGGTTTGAACCACCAGCCTTCTGGTTAGCAGTCAAGTGCTTTTAGCCACTATGCTACCAGAGCCACTACTCACTATAAAATACTATATAGCAGTGAAAACGAATAAACTACCTATGAAATTACTAACCCAAAAAAGAAATACAATATGTTATGGAAAATTAAAAATGTATTTTCCTTTATCATCTCTTCCAAACCCAGTTTCTCTAAGCTATTTTTCTTGCCAGTTTTCCAGTTAGGCAGCAGCTCACTGCCAGCTCGGGTGTGTAAAGTACACGGAGGGTGGAGGCGTGGCGGAGGCGTGGCGGAGCCGCAGAGGGCCGCAGCTCCGTCCTGTTTCATTGGCTTTCGGGCCGGAAGCTGCGGAGAGTTCCCTACTGCGCATGCGCTTCTCACACGTGCTTCCAGAGCACCGCCTCTACGGCTCTGAGCCTATGTGGGCTGACCCACATCATGCTGCGGATTTCGCCTCTTCGGCTGCTATGGTGCACCCGGTCCAGTAGGGTCTCGCTCCTGAAGGTCTTTGGCTCACGGCACTACGGTTCGTGCCCTCTTGGTGTCGGCAATGAGGTCCGCGAAGGGCGCGCCTACTTCACGACGCCCATTTTCTACGTTAACGCGGCGCCACACATCGGGCACCTGTACTCTGCTCTACTGGCGGACGCCCTTTGCCGCCACCGTCGTCTCCGGGTTCCCGTTGCCTCCGCCACGCGATTCTCCACTGGCACTGACGAACACGGCCTGAAGATCCAGCAGGCGGCAGCCATTGCGGGCTTGGCCCCGGCCGAGTTGTGTGACCGAGTCTCTGCCCAGTTCCAGCAGCTTTTCCGGGAGGCTAATATCGCCTCCACCGACTTCATCCGCACTACCGAGGTGCGGCATCGCCTGGCTGTGCACCATTTCTGGGAGGTGCTGAAGGCCAGGGGTCTGCTTTACAAAGGGCTTTATGAAGGTTGGTATTGCGCTTCGGACGAGTGCTTTCTGCCTGAGGCCAAGGTCACCCGACAGCAGGGCCCGTCCGGGGTTGCGTGCCCTGTGTCTCTGGAGAGCGGGCATCCCGTGTCCTGGACCAGGGAGGAAAACTACATTTTCAGGCTTTCCCAGTTCCGGGAGCCGGTCCGGCGGTGGCTGCGGGACGACCCTCAGGCCATCACTCCCGAGCCATTCCATCATGCAGTTCTTCAGTGGCTAGAGGAGGAGCTGCCCGACCTATCTGTCTCCCGCAGGAGTAGCCAGTTGCACTGGGGCATTCCGGTGCCTGGGGACAACTCGCAGACCATCTATGTTTGGCTGGATGCCTTGGTCAACTACCTCACTGTGATAGGTTATCCGGATGCTGAGTTCAAATCTTGGTGGCCTGCTACCTCTCATATAATAGGCAAAGACATTCTCAAATTCCATGCTATCTATTGGCCTGCCCTCCTCATAGGGGCTGGCATGAGCCCTCCACGTCGCATCTTTGTCCACTCCCACTGGACAGTCTGTGGCCAGAAGATGTCCAAGAGCTTGGGCAATGTGGTGGATCCCAGGACTTGCCTTGACCGCTACACTGTGGATGGCTTCCGGTACTTTCTTCTTCGGCAGGGTGTCCCCAACTGGGACTGTGACTACTATGATGAAAAAGTGGTTAAGTTGCTGGACTCGGAGCTGGCAGATGCCTTGGGAGGTCTCCTGAACCGATGCACTGCCAAGCGAATAAATCCATCTGGGACTTACCCGGCCTTCTGCACTGCTTGCTTTCCCAGGAAGCCAGGGTTGGTGGCGCCAATGGTTCGTGCTCAGGCAGAGGACTATGCTCTGGTGAGTTCAGTGGCCTCTTTGCCCAAGCAGGTAGCAGAGCACTATGATAACTTTCAGATCTATAAGGCTCTGGAGGCAGTGTCCAGCTGTGTTCGGCAGACTAATGGCTTTGTTCAGAGGCATGCACCATGGAAGTTGAACTGGGAGAGCCCAGTGGATGCACCCTGGTTGGGTACTGTGCTTCATGTGGCCCTGGAATGTTTGCGAGTTTTTGGAACTTTGCTCCAGCCAGTCACCCCAACTCTAGCTGACAAATTGCTCTCCAGGTTGGGGGTCTCTGCCACAGAGAGGGGCCTTGGAGAGCTCCATTTCTTGTCTCGATTCTATGGACATCCTTGTCCTTTTGAAGGGAGGAGGCTTGGACCTGACACTGGGCTCTTATTTCCAAGACTGGACCAGTCAAGGATGTGGATGGTAAAAGCCCACAGGACCTAGAAACTCAGTTTTTATTGGCATGTGGTAAAAAAGTTAATGTGTTACTTTTATGTTTTGCATTTTCAGGAAAGTTACACTAGTGTTTTCTCAAAGGGTTGCATCACATGAGCACATAAACTATGTCCCTGTGAAAAGAGGTTTGTAGTCAGTCAGGTTCTTAGTGCTCTGTGCCCATTAACCACTGTCTTTGCACACCAGTGTCACTAGGATGCCTCCAGGGGGAAGATGGGTTAGAGAAGACATTGTGAAATACTGTTCTTTCTCATTGGGCCCCTTCCAAACTACAATTATGCTATTTGCCCAGGTTACCTCTCATGGCTTTTATTTTCATTGGCCTAACCTCTGCTTCTTGGGCAAATTAATGCAGTAACTCCTTGTATTGACAGTGGGGGTTGGAGGGTGTGCTTTTATCTCACCTTTTCCCAGAGTAGCCCTTTTGTTATATATATTGGGTATCCTGTTAAAAAGAGGTTCTATTATTAAAACTTTCCAAACAAATCCTAGACAAGAGGGTTTTTGTTTATGTTCATCCCATGCTTTTAATTCCTATACCATGACTCCCTAATTTTTTTTTAATAGTCCAGTAGTTTTTGTAACATTACGTTTCAACCAGTAGATGGCTCTAGTCTCACACATACAAATCCTTAACATCGTGGTTTCAGAGTATTTGTAATAAATTACTTTTCTGTGTTCTAATTTTGCAGACCTTTCAATTTTTATTGCTTTCCTTGGAATAAGGGATAACTTGTTTGCAACCACTGCTGTTTTAACAGAAAACAATTAAAAAAAATCAGAATCCTCATTCTTTTTCAAATGACTGAAAATGACATTTAGACTAGTAAGTACATCACATTTGAGTATGATAAAACTATAAGACTCTCTTGAAATATTTTGTATGTTTAAAAATCTTAAGCTTCAATAACAGGTTACAGGGATGATAAATGTGTAAATAGTTCAAAAGGGAATTATTTTCTTCATCTCTTAGAGCCTTAATTTTGTTATTCACATGCATAATTTATCTTATATGACTTTTTTGGTAATAAATAATAGAAACTGTTATGGTTATTATAAATGTGGATACATTTACTTTCAAGTTTTGTTGATTTTACGTCTTTCCCTTTTAATTTAATAAAGTTTAAAGTTTATAAGTACCTTATTCAGGCCTGTTCTGTTGTAGTTGTTGAAGGGGATGATGAAGGGAGGAAATGATCAGTGCTCCAGGAATTTCAAACTGGATTTAGTGATATCTCCAAGGCTCCATAAGAGAACATCACAAAGATGTTGTTAAGGTATCAGTTTATACAATAACTACAACACTAAAGCTAGTGTTCTATCTCATAGGTGACTGCACAGTTAGACCAGAGTTTACAATGAGAACTTGCCTTGAAATATCCATTCTAAGCATGGTAGTAAGCAGGGAGGGCTCACTATGAAGTAAACTATTATGCTAGTAGTTCCCTCACATTTATCCTAGGTGCTACCATTCAGCACCAGAGTTTTACTGTTGCCTGGAGACGTTGCTTGGAAAAGAGTGCTTGCAGGAATTATAAAGGTAGAAGAGTTTCAACAAATGCTTCTTCAGAGCCTGTATTCTTCATAGATATCCTGGACTTTACATGTGACATATTCCAATTACCTGCTTAGATTACTAGGGCAGATTACTGGGTGATAGGGTGGGATGTAGTTATCTTTTAGGATTGGATAGGGCAGAGAGTGGTGAAAAATGGGATATGCTTACCTAGTAACAAGAAAACAGACTTGGAAAACTGGTGAAATGATAACCTCAGCCCCTTGAATGCCCTTAAAGCAGTCTTACAGTTCTTATCATGGATGGAGAGAGAATTATCATTTTCCCCTTGAGTGATCTTTCCCATGGCCTAGTGCTGGTTAGTACACTGGACCTTGGTTTGCTAGAGGATGTTAATGGGGTTCCTCTTGTGCAGCTTATCATTTGTGCAGGCACTTAACTGGCTGTCAAGAATATTTGTGGTACCAGAGGGCACAAGAAAATAGGGGCACCCAGATAAGAGAGGGTATAAATTATGATAGGTATTTTGAGTGCGAGAGTGTGCTAAATTGCTAACTTCTAGGGTTGTATGGAAGGTGGACCAGTTGGGTTCTCTATAGAAAGCACAACATGTAAAAGAAAGATTCTGTGGGTACTGAGTTGATATGCTTGATTTGATCCAGCAGGTTAGGAATGGCCAATGGAGAACAGGTAAAACTTAAAACTAAAAGGTATGTGCTTCGAAGAGAGGAGATCTTAACCACTTCTGGGAGAAGAAAATTTGTAGCATGCTCAAACAGGTGGACCCCTTGGCCTGTCCTACTATGATTATTCGAGGATACAGTTGTATAAGTAGACTGTCCAGACTGTCACGGGGCATTTGGCCATCAAAACTTGAAGGTGACTTTAATGAAAGAAATTCTATTCCCAAGTAAGGTAATTGACTTTTACTGGGGTCAGCTTTCGGTAGAGGTTTTCCTGAGGATTATATTCTCAGGTTTAGGGTTCTTCTGAGAAAGAATCCCCCTATTCCAGAACTGTTAATACCTTATCTGGTATCCGTGAATTCTTGACCACAAAGAAGTTTTCCCCAAATAATACCCTTTTGGCTCTCAAATACTCATTTTGGAATATTTCCTGGAGGCAGTGTTTTAGGAGGTGATAGAAGATTGCCTAGCTCAGGTGTTCATGGGATGTCCTGTTACTACCTAGCTGCCATTTCAGTAGATTACTATATATGAAATCATGAAAGAAGTTGTGGGCAGTATATTTTAAATGGCACCATTATATACTGGAGGTCCATTCCACAAGTGAACATAGATTAGGCACCTCAGAAGTCTAACCTGTGATTATGTGGAGGTCAAGTGTAGGCAGGAACAGCAAATAGGCACAGTCTCTAAAGTTTCATTGAAACCTCAGTTATTCTGTAAATAGGCTTCATTTTTTCTTGAAACACCTATGGACTCTGTAGGGCCCATAAACATCCTGATAAATTGAATGTTAAGTTGATGTCAAAGTACTTGAGAAAAGTCTTAAGTTGGAACATGGTCTGTGAGGCACAAGGTCTTTTGCACAGTTGCAAAGATGTTACTTTGAGGAGTAAGGTACACCTGACTCAAGCCTCAGTTGCCTCTCATGCATGCAAAAGCTGGACAATGAATAAGGAAAAGCAAAGAAGAATTGATGTGTTTGAATTATGGTATTGGTAAAGAATATTAAATGTACCATGGACTGCCAGAAGAATGAATAATTCACCTCAGAAGAAGTGCAGCCAGAATGCTCCGTAGGAGTGAAGATGGCGAGACTTCATCTCCCACACTTTGGACATGTTATCAGGAGGGACCAGTCCCTGCGAAGTCATGCTTGGTAATGTACAGGGTCAGGGAAAAGGAGGAAGTCCCTTCAATGAGATGACACAACATACAGCTCTTCACTAGGAAGTTTTGAAACCCAGGTGAAGCCAGTAAGTCGTTAGGTTGTGGTCCTCTGATTAGTATAGCTCATAACCATGAAGTAGCTTGGGCAGCAGGTGACAGAACCAAGAATTCAAAAGTCTTCTTCTTGGGTATCAAAGTCGGAATGGTTTTCTGGACCTCTGACTGCCCTATCTCTACCAGGTATGTAGTGGCAGTATTGGTCTGCATTGGTGTACACTTGAATTGTGGGAAAGCCAGGCTTACTGGCAACAATTTGGTCCATAAAGCTGCTATATGCTCCTCGATCCATAACTCATTCTGGAGGCAATTCTCTGCTATTTGAAGTTCTACCAGAATATAAAAAACTCTTATTAGTGAGGTCTTATTTATATAAGCCTTAGTAGGTCTCTGTTGTGGCTTTTGCTAAAGAGTGAATAATATCCACGTCAATCCAACAGAAGACAGGAAGGAAGAAAAAACAACAACAACAACAACAACAAGGCATATATATATAACCAAAGGAAAGCTGGTATAGCAATATTAACATTGTTGTTGTTGTTGTTGTTATGTGCCGTCGAGTCAGCCCTGACTCATAGCGACCCCTCCTTGGGTTTCCGAGGCAGTATCACTACGGAAGTAGGATTGCCCAACCTTCCTTCCGAGGAGTGGCTGGTGGGTTTGAACCGCCAGCCTTCTGGTGAGCAGGCAAGTGTCTTAGCCACTATGCTACCAGAGCTCCCAATATTAACATTAGGTAATCTAAAATTGAAGGGGAAAACTATTACTAAAGATAAGTGGGACTTAATATAAAAGGAACAATCCAACATCAAGTTACAACAATTACAAACTTTTATGATCTAACATAGCCTCAAAATATAAAATGCTAAAATGGAAAATTACAAGAGATGTTCAAGTCCACAAAAACTGAAATTGCAACTTATGTGTCTACAGCCTAAAGAAACCATGCAGTGAAAAAGTAAAATTATCTCCTACTAGACATTAGCAGGAGCTTTGGTGGCATAGTGCCTAAGGCATTTTACCGCTAACCAGAAGTACTCCTGGGAAGGAAGAATGGGCAATCTACTTCTGTAGTGTTACCCCCTCGGAAACCCAAGGAGGGATCGCTATGAGTGGCATCCAACTCGATGGCAGTGAGCTGCTGCTGCTGAGACATTAGCACTTCAGGCTTTTTAATGTTCACTATCAAAAGTATCATCACTGCTGAATGTAGGAAAAAAAATAAATAACAGCAGCAAGGTCTTTTCCATGCATGCCTTTGTGAATGTAATAACTTTCTTTTTATAGTGATGTCAGCCAAATATACTTGCTCAGTAAGTCCTCTGTGAGGTTAAAAGGGGAGAGGCCAAAGGCCATAATTTTTCCAATTTTTAGTTCAGTGAAAAGTGAAAATGAAGGGAGAAAACCAACAGTTCTTTGTGTTCTCTCATTTACTTTCCCATCAGTGCAGTGAGGTAGGTATTATTTTTTCCCTGTATAACTGACAAGAAACTGTTGCAACGACTCAGTAGCTTGGCCAGGGTTATACGCTTGTAAAACAGGAGAGTCTAGACTCAAACTTGTTTTGATGATGAAGGTTTAGCACCTCCTTTAGCCTTCAATATAAGGAACTCTGGTGGCGCAGTACCTAAGTCACTTGACTGCTAACCAGAAGATTGGCAGTTCAAACTCACCAGCTGCTCTGTGGGAGAAAGAGGAGACAATCTACTTCTGTAAAGA